AAACGGAAGTGGCCCAGGTCCCTCTCTGGTCTGGGACAGTCCCTCAGCCCTGGCTCGAGCTGGGTGTGTGTGTGTGTGTGTGTGTGTGTGTGTGTGTGTGTGTGTCTTGGGAAGCATCCAGGAGAATGTCCCACCCCCAGTCCCTGTCCAGACTTCTCCTGCAGCTTCCATCACTCTGGCCTCCAGCCTGTGCCCTGGTGCTGGACTCCCGGAGGGACAAGGAGGGCCAGGCTGGCCTCTCTGGGGCCACCTCCAAGTGCCCCATAAGGGACATCCAGGGCAGTCTGGTCAGACCCAGCAGGCCATGGCAGGAGCTAACCTGATGGGGTATGGCATTAAAATGGGGAACTGGCCTGTTGGATTTGGGGGTCAGGGTGGGGAGCCAACCCACTGATGTCAGGATGGAGAGCCAGCCCACTGGAGTGCGGGGGTCATGACACAGAGCGAGCCCACTGATGTCAGGGTAGTGTGGGGGTAGATTCCTGAAATTCCTGAGACTAGGCACCCAGAGGCGCACAGTCACTCCAAACACAAATCTTTCTCCAAATAACCAGGCCACACAGCACCCCCAGGGCATTAATGACTTCCTGTGAGGTCACCCCACATAGCCCGTCTCCAGGAGGGCTCAGACTCCAGGCAGCGGGCACTGGGCACTCTGGCGACAGAGGTGAGGGAGCCCCAGGCTCATCATCTAGGGTCGCCCTTCCTCCTGGGTGAGTTCTAGACTCCTCTTAAACCTCCCCACCCCAATTCCTTGGCCCCTTCCTCAAGTAGCCCAGCCTCACTGTCAGGAAGTCCTTCCTTAGATCTCATTTTAAGCCAACTTGCTGCAAAATGCAGTTTGTTTTATGACCTTAGTCATCACCAACACCCCAGGTGACAGTTCCTGAAGGGCTTGGGGGTAGAAGCCCTCACCATGCTCAAATCAGGACTCCCAAGCAGTCACTCCTCTCCTAGCCGCCTCCTCAGGTGCAAGACGCCTGTCTCCACTCGGAGGTTAAAATCAGATGACTAGATAAAGTACAAGAGGCCTAGTGAAATTGGAATTCCAGACAAATAAATTTTTTTAGCATCAAGATGTCCCATGCAATATTCGGGACATACTTAGGCTTTCACAAAAATTGTTGCTGTTGATTTATCTGAAATTCGAATTCCTATCTTTCTATTTGCTTTACACACAGCCCTGCCCTCTGCTCCCCGCACAGACACCCTGAGCTCTCTTCTGTCCTCTCCATCTTCTGAGGAGCAGTGGAGAGGACCGATACTGGAGAAGGGGCTTCCCAGGGCCAGCTCAGCCATACAAGGTATTACGTCGGCACCATCTCATTTGTGATTCCCCGGTTCATGAACACAGGGGCTGTGGTTCCCACATTTGTCAGGTAAGGCATCTGAGGCTCAGAGCAGTACAGGACTCGGCCCAGGGTCACATCGCTACACATGGAGCCAGGCTCAGAACCCGCCGCCGCCGCCCAGGCCCAGAACTGAGCTCCGGCAGCTCTTTCCCTCTGAGCTGAGCTGCGGAGGGGACGCAGCCCACACTGTGCTCGGAAAAGAGAGTTGCCCAGAGAGAGCGGTGACCTGCTGACGCCTGCGTACGGTGTCCTGGCTCCCAGTGGACACTGCTGACCTCAGTCAGCAGCACCAGGAGGCCCTGCCTGAGGTTCTGAAGGGGCCGTCAGGAAGCCTCCGTCTTCCCTCAGAGAAGAGGAGCCCTCTCTCCTCCTGCTGTTAATGCGAGACTCCTGGAGGAAGGACGAGATGTTTGCTGTGACTGGCACGTGTTTGACCATCAGCAGGCCCCAGGCCATGCTTAGGGCATACGTATGTGATACTTTGTTGGCATTTCATCTGAAATTCCAATCCTGTATTTGTATCTGCCAAACCCAGCAGCTCTATGGTTTAAACAAACCCACTGCCATCGATATATTGATCGATGGATCGATGCCAACTCACAGCGACCCTCTAGGACAGGATGGAACTGCCCCTGTGAGCCCCTGAGACTATCACTCTTTACGGGAGTCGACAGTGAGCCCCTGAGACTATCACTCTTTACGGGAGTCGACAGCCCCGTCTTTCTCCCATGGCGCAGCTGGTGGTTTCAAACTGTGGATCTTAGGGATCGCAGCCAAAGCATAACCACTACGCTGCCGGGGCTCCTCTGGGGTCAAGGAGTTGGAGCAAATGACGGCTGGACAGTCCCAGAGATGTCAGCAAACGCCCCAGGGGTCCCCAGAGGTCTGCTCTCCCGAGGGCCCAGGTCTCTCTCTCTAGCCTTGCCCATGGAGCCTCAAGCCACTTCCTGAGAGGGGCAGGAGGAGGGCTGGGCCAGCGGGAGCCCCAGAGAGGCCGCCGCCCGCCCGGAGGGAGATGGGCCCATCCTGCATGGTCTGGCTGGGAGAGGGCAGGTCTGAAGCCTGGGAGCTGAGTCTAGATTTCCTTCGCTGACCAATGGGAAAGCAGTAGCCCAGATCACTGCCCCTCAGGACTGTCAGTGAGACTGTGTGTGTGTGTGTGTGTGTGTGTGTGTAGCCTTGAATGGGGCTTCCCCAGAAGTGGTAGGTGCTTACAGCTCCGATGGCTCCACTGCAGAATCCCCACTCCCTCTTGTGTGTATGGGGTGGTGGTGGAGGTGCCCCCTCAGTCCCCAGCCACAGGGGTCCAGCTCTCTGATCCAGCAGAGGTGGAGGCCAGGACAGACTTTCAGAGGCAGAAAGGCCTCCAGACATCACCAAGTTCAACTCTCCCAGAGGCCAGGTGGGGAAACCGAGGCTGAGTACAGACAGAGGATTTCAGAGGCCGTAGCTGTCCCCCGACAGCCACCATCCCAGCAAACACCAGTGCCAGGCCCTGTTCTAAGCACCATCCCCTCTCCTCCACCCCAAAGGCCCTCTTCATCCCTGGCTGGCCCCTGCGATCCTGCTCCCACCCCGGCCTCGGAGTGATGGGTTGAGACAAGGCATTGAGAGACAGGTGTGCAGCCCAGTCCTGTTTGCTTCCCTCGCAACAAATCATTCTGACACCAGGACAAGTGACAAGCTCCACTCAGACAGCCCTGTGAGCCTGGCCCCGAGGGCCAGAGGCTGGAGGGAAGCCAAGGCCAGACCCCAGATCCAGCAGCCCGAGGTCAAGATCCTTGCCCCAGCGCCGTGCCCAAGAGCCGGAGCCGAGCCACTGGGAGACCTGGCAGCCGAGCGTGCCTGCCGCCCAGGTCCCACAGCTAGCTCCACCTTCTGGCCTGTCAAATCAACCTGTCTCCTGCCACTGTGCTCGGCAGGCTCCATTCATCCCCCAGCACCTGCTCCTCCCTGCAGGCAGGCAGGACCCCACCGGCTCTCACCTGTGAACATCCACAATCGTCTCAACCCCCACCACGCACACGGCGTAAGTGGGCTTCTTCAGGGACAGCTGCACATCTCTCTGCGCGGCCATCCCGGCCATCCCGTCTCCCAGCACCGGCTTCTCCGATCGGCTCCGGCCTGGCCACCCCACCGGCCCGAGCTCCTCTCCCAAGAGCTCCCCACTAGGAAGGTACGTGAGGTCTGACGGGCTAGGGCTCTCCTCCTCCCTTTTAATTTCACCCTGTGACCTGGAATCCCCACCTCCCAGCACCACGCCCCACCCTCTTCAAGCCTCTGTCCACCTAGAGGCTGAGGAAGGGACACCTGCCTGCCCAGGGCAGTCTGCAGGACGGAGAGAGGGGGTTGCTTCATCTAAGGTGGCCTTGCAACCACCCCCCACGCAGCTCCTTTCTCTTCCCTCTCTCCTCCCCACTGCCCTCCAAACTGAGCAGTGAGTGAGCCTGAACCCCACCCACTCAGATAGTCATCAGCTTTTCCTGGGGGCTGACTGTGTGCAGCGCACCAGCTAAGCAGTTCACCGACTTTATTTCCTAAGCCAACACGCTAGGGGACCATGTGAATCACAGTAGAACCAGACTGCCCAGGCTCAACTCCCAGCTCGGCCTCATATAGCCTGTGTGACCATGCCTGCCTTGCCTCGCTTCTCAGTTCCCTCCTGGGTCAAAGAGGGGTGGTCACATGCGTCTGTCCCTTTGGGTTGATGTGAAGATTACGTGAGATCGCTGGTAAGGGCGTTAGCATGGCACCTACGGTTCACCTAGCAGCGGTTCTCAACCTGTGGGTCTTGACCCTTTTGGGGGTCAAACGACCCTTTCACAGGGGTCACCCCAATTCATAACAGTGACAAAATGACAGTGATGAAGTAGCAACAAAAATAATTTTATGGTTGGGGTGGGCGCACCACATGAGGAACTGTCTTAAAGGGTCACAGCATGAGGAAAGTTGAGAACCACAGACCTAGAGAAAGGCTGGCTACTGATACAGGTGTAAGATGCCCTGGTGCCCTGGTGGGTTGCACTTTGATATAACTGCTACCATAAGGTCAGCAGTTCGAAACCTCTAGCTGCTGCAAGGGAGAAAGACGAGGCTTTCTACTCCCACAAAGATTTACGGTCTCAGAAGCACACCGGGGTAGTTCTACCCCGTGCTCCAGGGTTGCTATGAGTTGGAATTGACTCGATGGCCATGAGACCGACCGAGCGAGCGAGGTATTGGTGTTAGCTGCTTTCTGGGTGGCTCACAGCGTCCAGGAGCCATAGAACAAAACATGGTCCTGCACCATCTTCACGGACACTGACAGCCCAGTCGCCATGTGCTATGACTGTCTCCAACGGAAGGGCTCATCTCCCAACATGCTGTCAGACGAGGTTCTGTTATGATCCACGGGCGGGTTTTCAGAGAACACCACTGAGCCATTTTTCCGAAACTGCCTTAGTCTGGAAAGAGTGCTACAACCCGTCCATCCCGGTGACCCTGCTGAAGTGCCCATGGAAAACCATGCAGCACCACAGCCGCACGCGACACACTGACAGGCGGCGTGGAGCCACCATTCCTAGCAGGTGCCAGGTATGAGCCAGGACTCCAGATTACACTGGTAGTACAGTGATCAGGCCAGACCTGAGCCCAGATCCCCCTGCCCACCACACTCTATGATGCCCCAACAGGTGCCCCAGAAGTCACCCCACCCCCACCCCCTACCATGAGGAAATGGGACCAGACATACAGGCCGGGGACATGCAGAACTCCTTCTGCCCCCCGCCCCCCTTCAACTCAGGACCACCAGCTCTGCCTCCAGCCTGTTCTGCGGGCATCTGCGAATTCCTGTTCACTCGTTCGAACAATGTTTGTTGGGCAACGATTATGCATTAGATGCTCCTTCGGGCAATGGAGCTCGAGCAACAACTAAAAACAAGCCACATCCCTGCTCTGTGCCATAGATGTTCTGGGGGGACAGACAGCCGTGTAAAGACAGACATAATGACATGACGTGGGCCTACGGTGAAAGGTTGGATGAAACCCTTCTGTCACCCATGAGAGAGATGACATGACTTGATCTCAGGTGTGCCAGGGAGGGTGACAAGAGTCAGATGGACTCTGGAGGCACCTTGAAGGGAGAGCTGGCAAGGTCTGTGGATGCTGGCACCTGGGCGTGAGAGGAAGAGAGGGGTGGAGGACGGCTGGAGGGGCTGGGCTGGAGCCCCTGGAAGGAGGGAGTTATCATCGGGTGAGCTGGGGAGGCCTGGACGTGGACCTGGTGGACCTGTCGCATGTGAGACATACTGGACATTCGAGGAGAGATGGCGAGTCGCAGGCAACGCGTCCTCTCCACCCTGGGCCGTGGGGCGGATGAAGAGGGACACCCCCAGGAATCCCTGGCACATCTCTTCTGTCCTCTCATGCCCCATAAAGAGCGGCATAAGGACTGTGCAAACCAGGGGTGCCCTGTCCACGGCTCTGGGCGAGGAGGGCCGCAGAGAGAGGTGGAAAGAGACCACCCACTGAAGGAGGAAGAGTCATTGCTTGGGGGGCAGTGAGCTTATGTCAACGGTGGTGGCGTCATTGGGAAAAGGGCTCCCGTCGTGGCTGTACAACACGGAGCGGACAATCATGGCGCCGCACCAGGCGTGTAGACGTTTCAGAACGGGTGAATGTTTTCTTGTGCCTCCCTTTGCCACTGTTGGTAAAAAAAAGATAACTGCGTGACGAACAACGAGTACAAGGAAGAAGGAAATGTTCTAGAATCAGTTGCGATAATGATTGTGCAGCTCTCCTGGATGTGAGGGAACAATTGAACTGTACGGCATGGGGGTGAAGTGCTAATAAAACTGTTTTTAAAGAGAGATTGAGAACACTCCCTGCCTGGAACAGCCAACCTGATGCCGGCCCCAGCCCCCACCTCCAGCCCAACTAGAGAAACCAAGCCACACCCACCACCAGCATGTCAGTGCCGACCCAGAGCCACCCTAGGCCACAGGGTGGAACGGCCCCTGGGGGTGTCCGAGACGTCACCTCTGCAGGAGTAGAAAGCTTCATCTTTCTCCCAGGGAGTGGCTGGTGGTTAGCTGACTTTGCAGTTAGCAGCCCTGCGTGTAACCCCGGTGCCACCAGGAGACAGTACACAAACATGGCAGGCGTGGGTCAGTGGTTTGTCATTCTGAAGATCTTTTTGGGCTGAAGTCCCTGTCTCACTGCAACACATAGACTGTGAATGTTCTTGATCGGCCAACTCCATGAAAGCCCTCACTGTGTGCCCGGCCCGGCTCCACCCACCGCATGTACTGCCCGCCCCATCCTCAGGACAAGCCTGGGTGGCGGGGACTACATTTCACAGAGGAGGAAACTGAGGCACAGAGGAGTGACGCTGGGAAGTGGCCACACCAGGCTTTGGGCTCAGTCCGCAGACCCTCGCTGGGCCTGTCATTGCTGGTTAGATCCCAGGATCCTTTGCGCCCTGCATCACATACTTGGGTGTGTTATTTGCACGGCATCGATGAGCAAATAGTGCTAAACCACCACCACGATTCTCTCTTTGAGGAAAAGTGACAAGGGTTCCCTCCTACTGACCTCTCTTGCCACCCCTTCCCTCCCTCCCCTTCTTGAAATTCTCATGACTTTTCTTAAGAAACCATGACTTACCCCTGCCCTGCCCTGCCCTGCACACCCATTCTGTGGTCTTTTTGAATGTGGGATGGCAGGTGTACTTGCCCACATTTGGGGTAAGGAAGCCGGGAGGAGTGAGGGTGGGAGTGCTGTGTGACATCATCGCCTCCCCCCAACCTGCAGGAGTCAGTCTGAAGGGCAGCCCCAGACAAGGAGGAGAGGCCTGTCCGGTGTGAGGGGGTTGGGGGGTTCTCAGATCGCTCCAGGGTGTCTCTGGAACGATCCAGGGTAGTGAGCAGGGATGGTGTCTGGTGCCGGGCCACTCTCCCCATGATGCAGCTGTGCTTTGAGCACAGACCGGGTGCCAGGCCCCGCGAACATGACCGCACCCCTGTCCTCATGGGGCACAGGCAGCAGTCAGTGAGAGGGGTCGGGAGAAAGACCGTGACGGCAACAGGCGCTGGGGACACATAAGGCAGGTAGAGAGCGAGGCAGGTATTGTTTGGGGGAAAGGTAATCAGAGACGGTGTCTCTAAAACAAATAATGTTGGAGCAGAGGTCTGAACCAAGGTTTTGGCTATCTCAGCCTTCGATTACACAGGATCCCATTCGCCCAGCGGGCTTGTCCCGGTCTTCTCCGCCGGCCTCTTCATAGGATGCGGCTATTTCGCTTGACCAGCTTTTCAAACTCAAAGGCCTCCAGGTGCCGCGCAGGTAGCATTAATACGAGTGAAGCTGCCAGGTACAAGCCCCTAGGGAGAGGTGGCACTGCGGCCCAGGGACTCGGGCTGGCATTGTCTGGCAGTCAGTGCCAGTGTCTCTGACAAGCAGTGAGAGGTGGGGTCGAGCAAAACGCACCGGTGAGCGCCAGACCTGGTCCTGGGGCCATCGGTGTGAGAACCCGGCTCCGATGGGTCACAGATCGGCATCGGTCCCTGGAGAGTGACAACATTTGCGCTCTACGACTAGCCTAGAGGTCGGCCGTTCGAGCCCACCCAGCGGCTCTGTGGAAGGAAAGGTCGGCGTTTCTGGAAAAGAGAAGACCCCTCTCAGAAATGGGTGGTGCTTCCACAAGTCAGAATGGGCGTAAAGACACCAGGTTTGGATGTGGGCGTCACGGAGATGAGATGTGGGCAGTCATGTGAGGTCCCTGAGGGACAGCTGTGCAACCTGGGTCCAGCTGAGCCTTGCCACCAGGACATGAAATACACTCAGAGGCTGATTGAACGCTGGCACCAGCTGGGGGCACCCGCGCTCACCCTGCCTGTGCTCACAGGAGGACCGAGGGGTAGCAGAGTCCCGTTCTCTGGACACCCTGCCCTGTGGCCTGTATCCACCCCGGAACCTCTGGGAACCACAGGGACAGGCAGTCCCACCTACACAGCAGCATCCATCAGCTCCAAGCCGAAAGGGCCACTGAGCCCATCAGTCCTGACCCTCCATCCACCTGAGCAAATCAAGGCTCCAAGG